AGACAATCCTCATTTCCACAGAACGATTGGCTGCTAAAGTACTTAGCACAAACTATTTATTAGTTGCCAAAGCAACTGGTAAAACAAATGGCAAAACTAAATGTCAAACTCAGTGTTTACATGGAAAATGACAGTGTGGGGTTTTTTTTATTCTAAAATGCTGGGACTGCTGTACAGACGTCACTACTGTAGTATACCTACTTTCAGAGGGTTACAAATGTCCAAACATCCCAGTCCTCCCTCCTTCTGTTTCTACATTTTCTACATGTTTAACTCCTACATATCACATACTTCACATCCGATAAATCTATTGCTTCTAATTAATTAAAATAACATTAAAAGTTCTTTAGCAACTCTCGAAGCTGAATGGACTCAGCACAATGGGCTGAATTTTACCCCAGTAACAAAAAAGAGAATACACCTGTTTCAGATTAATTACTCCAGATTCCTGGTAGGGTGGTAACATAGAAACTCTGGTCTATTTATTCTCCTCTCAAGAATTATACCGAGACCTACTTGGGAAAAAAAAGAAAAAAAAAAAGAAGTAGGTGAGGGTCCATCCTTGACTGTTGCATAACGAAAACCCCAAAACAAGGGCTGCCCACAGCTGAGGCCTGGCTGTTGTTAAGAAGGACTCCTACATGCTAACTTTAATGACGGAGTTCGTTAAAATCACAGAATCATGAAGACCAGTCTTTGAGTCCCTTAGTATTAGGTATAATTTTCTGGATATGGTAATTATTTTAACATTATTTTATCTTTTTATATTGTTTCCCAAGACAGGATAAACTTTGTATATTTCAGAGAATGAGTAACCATTTTCTATATCCCGATTAGCACTGCACCCTGAACTTTTCAAAATAACATTAAGATGATAAAGAACATGCATAAAATTTTCTACACTGAGCTTCACTTGGTGTGCAAATTCTAAGGAACTTTGGTTGCTTAGAAGGTTAACTTATTTACCATATATTACATTAAATCTTTTCCTTTGTTCTGGGAAAATGTATTGAGTTATACCTTCCAAAATAATCTAATAGCTGTACCATAAATGCTGGGCACCTCCTAGCCAGCACTTCAGGAACACAGATGTCTTTTACAGCTAATTCAACTGGAAATTGTGAACAGTTAGCATACTATAAGCTCTCCAGCTACATTCTCCCTCTCTTTCAAACCATAGCAAGGCAGAATGAACAGACTTGAAGTTGCTGCCAAGGAAGTTGTGTGAATCACAGTTCCTGAAAGCATACAATTAAACTGTTTAAAGCTCCTTTTAAAATGCTACTTGCAAGAGACAAGAATCTCTGCAGCATTATGGAAGGCATGAAATCTTCCTGTGAAAGCACTATTCACAATTATATATGCATTTGGTAATTAAATGAGACCATCTTAGCCACTAATATACAAAACATAGCTTGTTGTGAGACATTCACTTTAATCAGACGTCTGCCTCCTGTTCGAATTTACTGGAAAACCAGCTGGCAACCAAAGTGGAAAATGGACACATGGTTTTCTCCAGTACTTTGCAAACAGAAATATTGAAGGATTTAACTGTTTTTATTGAGCCTCACGCTCATAAAGATACTTTAAGGGGAAAAAAAAGAACCCCACAATGTCCCTGGCTAGAGTAAACTGTTAATCTTCTTTTGAAACAGAGAAAACTGAAGTTGGGTAGAAGATAAAGTCACAATGCTAGGAAGGAAAATCCGTTTTCATCATCAACACCAGTAATTATACTTTAGGACATGAAGAAGACACTACTCCCTGAACTTAAGTCCATTATAGACTTTGGAACTACTACCACCATATCGAGCTTTTTCTCCGTATTTGGAAGCACAGGGCAACCTATAAGAAGGCAGTATGTCACATGCAGAACTCAACTAGACTGCTATTAGTTAACGTGTTAACTTTTTGACTATCAGGAGAACTGAACTGATGACTGCCCTTATGGGCCAAGAACCTTTAAGTATACCTTAAGATCACTATATTCAGACTCCTATACCTTAAACTTGACTGGAACATTAAACTACTCCCTAAACTATTTTGAGATCATTATAGCTTACTGACTGCAAAGGATTTACTCCTGGCACACAACGGTTGAAGTAGAAATAATCTCAAACTGTAATTTGAATCCAAATAAAGTTGACCTGAATACCTTCGAATGTGCCTTTTTTAATTCTCCATGGTCAAATATCTCATTACTGATATTTCAGTATTTTAGCTCGAATTATTCAAGACTAACATATGCTATATTTCTATTTATTAATGCTGTGAGATAAACAATAAATTATTGTCTTCATGCTTAGTTAAATTCCAATTTCAATTCATGCTAACTTACTTAACTAACCTTCTCCAGGAATCAGTTTAGGTTTTTTTTTCCATAAAGTACACTGGATTCCCTTCAGTATTATTTTTGCAGCCACATAGGTGCAGGTCACTGAAAAATTCATGTGGGTATTGCAAAATGCTGGTGGCATTCCTTGTCTGACTGGCAGTAAGTGAGAACTCCCTAGCTGAGCAGGAAATACAGCAGTGCACAAGCATGTCAAGCTTTCAAAGGAAACGCTAACAGAAGAATGGAGCAATAGCAATGACTCAAGACTTGGTTTCTAGTCACCATATTAATTCTTACTCTGAATAAGGCAACCTTAAGACCATATAGGGGCACTGCAGATTCAGTGGGGAAAGTTCACTCTCTCCTAATACTGCCAGGTACCAGACAATCACATATTCAATTGGGTAGGTACTACTGAACATTGTCCCGATCGGTATTTGTGGACTCCAGCTGAGCTCACTGCAGTATAAAGCCATATTACTTGCCTGGCCCAGGAGAGTTCAAAGTTCTTGTTTCTAAAGAAATGTTAACATCAAAACCCTAGCGTAAAGCATTTAAACGTGAGCAATACGAAGTGAAAGTCAGAAAACAAAAAAGTTCACTCATATGTCTGCTTTACATATGTAAGATATAATCATATGAAAGGCAATAACTTAGTTTTAAGTTTCAAGTATGAAAAAGCAAATCCTCACAAAAGCAAAATCAAGTATTACATGATGTGGTGGGTTGACCTCGGCCGGCTGCCAGGTGCACACCAAGCTGCTCTATCACTCCCCTCTTCTGCAGGACAGGGCGGGTAGAAAATAAGATAAAGAAAAACCTCGTGGGCCGAGATAAAGGCAGTTTAATAAAGAAAAGCAAAGGCTGCATGCGGAAGCAAAGGAAAACGAAAAAGAATTTGTCCTCTACCTCCCATCAGCACGCAATGTCCAGCCACTGCCTGGGAAGAGGGGCCTCAGCACTCACAGCGGTTGCTTCAGAAGACAAACACCTGAACAACAAGCGCCCAAATGCCCCCCTGCCGCCCCGTCTCTTCGCTTTGACTGCTGAGCACGTCATACGGTGCGGAATATCCCTTTGGCCAGCTTGGGTCAGCTGTCCTGGCTGTGTCCCCTCCCAGCCTCCTGCCCACCCCCAGCCTTCCGGCCTTTCTGGGTCGGGGGGGAGGTTTGGTGAGGCAGCCCTGATGCTGCGCAAGCACTGCTCAGCAGCAGCCGAAACGCTGGTGTGTCACCAACACCTTTCTAGCTACCCCTACAGAGCACGGCACTGAGAGGGCTGCTGTGGGGGAAATTAGCTCCATCTCAGCCAGACCCAATACACATGTCTGTACAAAGAAAGTATTAATTAAGAACTCCCTTTGAACTTACCTAGTCAAAAAAAAAAAAAAAAAAAGTCCTCCTGTGAACTACTTCCTTCTATTTTACACAGCAATTAATAACACTGAGCATTAAGGGGGGAAGGGCAGAACACCTTCCTGAAGAAATATTTTCTTCCAAGTTACTATTTCTCTACATTTTATTTCTTTTTCCTTAGAACTGTATGGACTGAAGAGCAGGCCAAATGTTTATCTGACTCTGGGAATAGCATTCACGATCTTGAAATAAACAAGCGGTTCCCTATAAATGACTGGCCATTTGACACTTAGAAAGGGTTTCACAGCAGCCAACATGAAGAGCTGGGAGGTAGAGGAAAAACACTTGTATTTATTTCTCTCCTTTCATATTCAGCATCTTCCTTTTTCTTTCTTTCATTCACATTGTCTCTCTCTCTCATTTGGCGAGAAGAAAAGACTGTTTGAATGCCAAATGAAATTGCCTGTCACGTGTGGTCTGGACCCCTTGGGCTTTTTTACATTCACACATGGTTCAACATAATGAGACAGAAAATTGGCCATTCAGGTTTAAGGGATTAAAATAGAACAGCTTTTGAGATAATGGCTCCTACAGTAGTAAGTACATTTCACATAGCCTGTCTGTTCATAGGGATTAATTTCAGACGTACTGTGCTGTAGTTGGGTCTTTAATCTCAGCAGAGAAAAGTCCAATATATTTTATGCTACCTATTAAAAATGTGAAACCTACTAATAAATCATCTTAAAAATGCTCCTCTCTGCCATCCACGCAAACCTGTTCTCCAGAAAGGCAAGTAACAGTACATCCCTCCTCTACAATCTCTGCAATTAAGTTTTACTTCTGAAATCAAATTCTTTTCTTTCACGGTAAATGGATTTGTTTTGCCTTGTCAAATGAATGCCGATATGTGTGAAATTAATCTTGGTATGTGGGATATAATTTATTACTGTAAGAACCTCTGAGGATAAGTATCATAAAGGAAGAAAATTATTTAAGACAAAGGACAGTGCTAACCCAGTACAAGCTGGTTATGTAGAAATTTGCAATAAAAATCAGATGATCTAAAACTACCAGAGGAGTGCTGTTCTGGACCAAGGTTGTTCTGAAACTGGGCATACGCATGGAAAGGGATCAGTTCTCTGACAGCCCTTACAAGATAATTCTGTAATTGCAACAAAAGCCCTTACTTGCAACTAATTAATTCCTCCAAAACCCCTCTGATATAAAATGGGTTTTCCCATATACTTCAGTGGACGATTTCTGTAATTAAAATTATTTCCTTACTCAAATTTTCAGATGAAATTTTATACCTGCAAGATCTTCTTTGGAGGAAACCAGTCGAGGAGAGCTGTTACCTGGCTCAATTCTTAATGATAATCTGGAAAAACAAGTTTTTAGAGAAATTAACAAAAAAATTTTCTCAATAAAAGTTGAAAGAAACTGAAGAAAGTAATTATTTTGGCAGTGGTAAGCAGGAATTTTACTTTGTTGGAAGCGTAGTTATTTATTTTGTTATGTAACAAAACAATATTTTTTTCCTAAAGTAATCACTACCTGTTAGATCCAAGAAAGAAACTGAGGTTAAGTCTATGAAAACAGAAATGGAAATTGATATTTTATACTCCCTATCAGTGTAAAAACATAAGTTCATATAGTCTTTCACCTGAAAAACAACCCTTCCAAAAGTTAGTAAATTCAGATACAAACCTACTAGCAAACATTTTATTCCCTCTCTGCATGAAAAGTGAATTTATTCTGTGACCATGTGAAAATCCGCACTCAGAAATAGCTATTTTGAAATATTAGTTACTATGACTTCTAGAAAAGGCGCTAAGTGGGTAAAGTGACGAACATTTAACAGTAAAAGAAGATAATTACAAGAAAGTTATAATATTATATGCCCCTCTGCCTCACTCCATGTGTTTTATGATGCACTCACTGTTGCCTTATCTCAGCACTCCAATACGTCTTGATCTTCCAGTGCATATGACTTCTGCCACTTCTCAAGTTTACGCACTCTTAACTTGACATTCATGGGTCCTTTGTTCTGTACCAGTTTGACAAAAAAGTATGGAGGACTACAATATTAAGTAAATTTTAATGGAATAGGCATAAAACTAAAGGAAGTAACTCCTGTCATTGCACAGCATTAAACACGCAAAAAAGTTGTGAAGGTTTCAAGCTACAGGCTGCAGTACTCCACTGTATACAAACACCAGTGGAAGTCTTTTTAACTTCCGATAAAAACATGCAATGGGGCAGGAGGGAGGAACCTATGGCAACTTTTCAAAATATCACCTATGGCTTAACTATCACTTTCCTTACTACCTTGTCTTTCACGGACACAGAGTTTTATGGGGAATACCTTCCAGTCCATTCTCCACAGTACTCAAACACTGTCAACTATGTTTCAGTGTGAAGTTAGTTAACAAACTGATGGTCCCTTTTCATGTTTTAGAATTTCTATTCTTCTGATAGTACTAGATTCTTTTAACTATCCAAAGTAACGTATTTCAAGTCGGTAATGAATCATTCCTTTCCAGACTATCTTTTCTTTCTGTCAGTATGATTTCCATGATGAGGAACAACAGTGACAACATGCCTCTCCCAGAAGCCAACAATGAGAAAGTTACAATAATATAACTCAGTGCACGATTCAAATGTTAATCCTATGTGAACTCCTTTCAGTATGGAAAAATGGCAAAAAAACTTCATGAAGTCCTTCCCTGTAAATAGAGACCTACTGTGTGAATTTATCTTCCATGCCTGTAGAAACATTCCAGTTGCATCCCTTGCACAGTAGTTACTCCTTTGTTCATTTTTAAGGCTGATCTGTTCCTCACTATATTAGAGGTTTATTGTTCCCATACTGTGAGTTTGATTTTTGTGCAGAAAAGTTTTTTTAAAAAATGTTGGTTTTAAGAATCTCCTGCAGAGCTGTGCTGTTTACAGGTATTGAGAAATTTGGGTATTAAGCTCATTATACTGGGTTAGCTCATACTCGACGAACCAAAGTCCTTATGCAAAACAGAACACTTATTTCCACTTGTTTCACACAACAGTTCTTCTCCAAACAGAAGCAGACAACCCTTCTCCTGCTAACCCATCACTGTTCCACAATTGCTAATTTCTTGCTTCTGTTTCTGTCTGTACAAGGGAGCTGCTACCTACCCTTCCCCAAACGTGGTAACTGCATGTTTTAGTTTCTGCCAGCTTTGAGGAACTCATCTCTGATGCTCTTTCCTTAACCTGTTATCACATAAATGACTCAGTCCCCTGTGGCAACAGCCACTATTTATTTGGTCACTGTGGAAACATTTGTCTAATAAGCCCATTGCAAAAAGATATGACTGCAATTCAGTCCATGTAAGCAAGTATCTTCTCCCTTTTACAGTGACGTGATTTGTAATGCATTCCTCCTGAAAATTTCTTGCTTTGTTAGACTAAAAGGAATTTAAATCTGTATGGAAAGATTACAGATGAGACTCTTAAGCACGCTGAACTGAATCGTGCTCATTAAGCAGGTCCAGTCTATCATTTCACACAACTATTTACAGAATCGGGTATTTTTCAGAGCAATTGTGGCAGGACTACCTTACATACCTGAGGAGGCCACAATTCACTTGTCCAACTTTAATTTTTTTTTTAATCAACCTAATTAGCTTACTATCTATTAAGCTCCAAGACCCAGTACAACTCTTACATGTCTGAAAAACAGCACAGGTGAAATGCTGCTTATGAATATGTACATAAGGGGAAGTGCCACGACCTGCTATCAGATTTACGGCAAGAGCATTCCTATACCTTCCTTAGTGACCAGAACATCTGACAAAAGCAAGTAAGATCAACTTCCATGCAACTACTTGTACTATACTATTTCTCTCTTTCTGTTAAAAAATATTCATGTAAAGAAGAAATGGAGAAGATAACAGCAGAAAGTGAGACCTAACACTTTTTATGCCTTTAACAAGATTTTAGAAAGAGGCATGGTATCATTATACAACCCAGAAAGCACCTGTGGTGTGTGCTGCACTTAAAGGTTCACTGACAGAGCAACAGGTGAGCCTTCAGTGCTATAAAATGAGATTACATCACTCTCCACTGGTCATCTCTTTAGAAAACGTAAAGTTACGTAATGTTGTTTATCTGTTTGGTTATGTTAAACTACACTCTGAAATCTTAGCCCTTGCTAAGTCTCTGACAGTTTGGTCAATGACTTCATCAATGCCAGAATTCTGTAACAAAAACACAATTTAGCTATTCAATTTAGGAAAATACAGGATGTATTAGAAGAACAACAAATAAATAGGAGCCTAAATTTGAGTTTTGAAAAATATAAAATACTCATGCTGACATGTTTAACAAAATATTTAAAATAAACTGTGAGAAAAGAGAATATATTCTGACAATGAGACGTCATTCTTGGACCACCCTCTCTCCTCTTCCCTCTCTCCCCCAGAAGGCTGGAAACAATCAAAACCATCTTTATTTCAAAGAAGAGATACTGACAGTCAGCACAGTTTCAACCAGTCTTGGCTTGTTTATCACCACCTGAATTAATTTTTGCAATTCCTCTGACACTGCATTTTCCACTGAGAAGCACAGGTTACATGCATGCACACACATGCTCACCTGCTCTCACCTTGCTACATGTGCATACAGTTATGCCAGCAGCATGAGCAATGTCTCCCAACAGCACTCACAGAGTCAGAATCTTCGGCCCCTCAGAGGCTTAGTGTAATACTATCAATAGGTCTGTGCAGACTTCGACGCCTGACGTGCTTACAACCAACATTCATCATTCGTATCCATCACATACCAGATTATATTCTCACAGCTCACTGTCCCCAATGATGTTCACTAGTATTACTACAAGTAAAAAACTACCTTTGCTCCAGCATGCCTAATAAAGCACTCATAACGACATTCTCTTTTTTGTGTTTGTACCTGTATACGATCAGAAATTAATCTTATAAGTCACTATATTTATCTAATATCACAGCACTGTTATTTTTCTTTTTTTTTTTTTTTTCAGGAATTCTTTTCAAAAAACAGTATCTTTACCATGGTGAGGAAGCCTAGTCTTAGTGCAAGGTCTAAGTGCTGACACATTAAATTTCAACATGCCAAAATTATACAGCAAGAGTTCAGCTAAGAGACATGCCAGGATAAAGCCTACATATCAACCCCAGAAACTGCCCATTAGAAACTGAAATTCCAAAACTGAGGAGTTAGTATTAAAATTCTAAGGTGAAACAAAAACTAGAAGTAAAATCTCTAGGAAAAATCAGCATAGAGATTTACAGAATTAACAAACCACCAATTTACCTTTGGCAATTAAGACAAAGCTTTTAAAGAACAAGGCATAGGGGGAGTATGTGAAGGCTTTGTTCTTGGACAGTAAAAAGATGGACATAAACCATTTATTTGATTTTTAAAGCCTCATACTCAAAATATTTTCTGGAACATGTTAGGGCTGGTAAAGAGCTGTTAGGGCTCTGTAAAGCAAGCTGGACCTCTATCCCAACCTAGTCTTAAATAATACTCTGCTACTGAGTGCCACCATATAGCTCATTTAAGAGTAACCTTCCTGACAAGCAGGAAAAGAGGAACCTAACATAATGCAGAAAATAAAATAGGTAGCCAGTCTTGAACATAGTTCTGTTTCATGGGAGTGAGCTCTCCAGTACGGGATGAAACTAGTGCTAGGACAGTAAAGCTACTTTTACTCAGTTGTCCTAATATTAAGCAAGTGAATGAAGACAGAGAATAGCCTTACATGAACAAGAAATTCAGCTGTTCCTTGAGGAGACTGAACAGAACTTTTTCATCTTTCTTAAGACAAGGAAGATCTAAGTTGCAATAAAGCAGTGCAGTCCTCAAAGCTGTCACTCAGGGCATTTCTGACAAGTATTTGTGTACGAAGCAACATGGGTCTGACATATCCGAAACATTCTGGGCTGCCTGTGCAGCACTTAAACAGTAGGTCCAACAGCTTCTGGAAACTCCACTGTCCCTGAGAATGTCCTGTGGAAGAGGCAGCCATGTCACAACTATAGCTACTGATCCATACGGCCACTGGATCACTAGAGATCTCAGACTGACAGTGAAGGCTTCCCCCTCCCCCTGCCTTTGACAACAATTCTTGGTGGAAAAGGTCCAGGGAATACAGCTGCCTAGGAGGCCTGTTTAAGATGGACTGAGGCCAAGGTCCACTGTCATAGGTACTAATATTTTAAGCACCCGCCACACAATTCCTGTTACCATGAGACTAAAAACAATATGGTGCAGCTGGTACTTTCATAGCAGCATCATTGTTAGGAATCAGTATAATGTTTTAATTGCCTATTAATTTCTCTTGGATGCTTTCCCATAGCATCCTGCCTATCTGAATCTAAATTTGAACTGATTTTTCTGTAAGTCATCTTACTAGCATATTGGAATATCAGTGTCTTCTCTAATATGCTCTAAAGAACTGAATTATATGTGTAGACAGCAGCCTACAGAATGGGATTCCAATCCTGATTGTCCTGTCCAGATAACATTGTAATACAAATAATAGCCTTCAAACCGGCTTTACTCAAAGAACAGCTGTGGAGAATACCAAGGCCTGACTTAATGATACCAGAAGGTCAGCAAAAAAAAATTGGTTTGGAACTGCTGCAAGGCATGGCAAGTTAAGAAAGGCTGTGGCATGGTGCTGCAATGTTTGGAATAGCACTGTCAAGCTCAGGGAAAAAAACTGCATTCCTGGGGACAAGCACTCTCCTCAGATCACTTCTTACACCCCAGGAGGAAGGAGATCCTGCAGCAGCTGCATCACGGTATCTCTGACGCCCACTGGCTGCCAGTCATGCCCTGAGATAGCAATGATTAGCAATGCATTTTGGGTAAAACTGGAAGGAATCCTGATGCTTTAGGTCCTATTTTTGCCCCCTTAGTCTTGTAACTAGCAAATGTTGTAATTTCTCGTCTTCTGCAGAGAACAGTATATGGGCTGAGCAAGAAAGATCTATTATTTTTAGGATGTGACATCATTGTCAGGGGTTTTCTGCAGTGTTCCTATTTGCTAACAAGCACAAACTTGCAAAGCAAGCAATTGGACTGGCACAAAAAATTGTAAAGAAAAGCTTTGTTTATATAAAGCGGCTGCCAAATTTTCCTTTTCAGTTTAACGGAGGTTCTCATTTGGCAAAACACGTGTTGGGATCTTGCCAGTACATTTGGGGCAACTATCTGCGCTTCTCTCCCTGACAGCCTGGTGCTGAGATAGTTCCGTTCTCCCTGCCAAAGGTCAAGCACACATCTCTTCAGAGTACGCCAACGCTGTCCCTGGCTCAAAGAGAGTGGTCACTGGAAAGAGAACGAGAGAGAAGATTCTTTCTTGCTATAGAAACATAGCACACTCTGCCTTCTTAAGGCTTACGGTTTCTTCTGGCATGGGACCAGAAAATGCTACAAAACTGAAGATCCATTAGGGAAAACTGAGAGGAAAATGCGCAATCAAATACTCAAAACAAAATCCAGAAACTTCTTATCAAATACAAAGATGGAAGAGGAATGACAGTTCTCTTTAAGGCTGGTTGTGTTTTGATGAATACAGACTTTAATTCTGATGAAACAAACATGGTAGAAAAAGGTCAAAGTTCTCCAGTGTATATAGACTGCAACAACTGTACTACGCCAAGAATCAAATGTTTCCCTCCTTGTGGAAGGAATCAAATGTTTCCCTCCTCTTGTGACTTCAGCCCAGTTTTTCCTTGCCATAGTGAAGCCTAGAAAGAAAACTGCTAAATTTGATCAAAATATTCTCACAAATAACTAGATTAAAAGAAAAAGTACTAAATGATCTTTAAGATACATCAAATAATCTCCAGCATTATCAGCAAGGCTGCTGCTGAAGTTAAAATTATTTTCAAATTTAAACCGGAATTACTCACGACTTGTAGTTTTTCCAAATATTATGTTATGGTATCATATACTTATAGAAACCACTCATATACTTATAGAAACCACTTGTTTAATCTATTTTTCCTAAGATATTGCAGTTCATGAAAGCTATTGTGTATATATAATGTTAACATTGATGCATCACCAGGAAACTCCATCTAAAAATGAAATTAAGCAACATGACTGGTTTCTTGAATCCAATCCAGGGGCTGTAAAGCCTACACTAACTACAATTCTTCACCTTTACAAATTACTACTCAGTTTAATTTTGCTCTATGTTCACGACTTTAACGAAGCATGGAAGTATGTGGGAAATTGGTAATTAATGACCATTTGTTAAATTTTAACACTGAGATTTAAATCTCAGACTACCCTTAACACAAGTCTTGGACTGCCTGACCTTTTCAAAAGGCTGTGTGCAATGCTCATGTTCAACGTGCATCTGTTGCACAATGCATCTCTATCTGCGAAACATATACAATGTCATGAGACTGAGAAAAGGAAGAACATATGCATTCTATCATCAGTACTCTGGCAGGAATTCTAATTCCATGAAGCGGATAAATTTTGCTATGAAAACATCATTCTTTTTTTCCAAATAATTTTCCTACAGAAACATCACTATCTTAGCATCTGTGATCAACCAGACACAAAAGCACAAGCCTATCCAACCATAGCCAAGTATGATCTTTTGCAGTGAACTACCCAACGCTGGCTCAGCTTCTTTTGCTGAAGTTTACCCTAAGCAAGGGGACAAATTTTGGACATTTTTTCTCTTTTTGAAGTATGTCCTGATAATAGTCGAAGAAGTTCCAAAAGAATACCTTGTCTGAATGGTTTTACTTTTAGAATTATTCTCTCAGGAAAAGCAAAGTTCCACACACATTTATCACAAGAATCCCTATTGACAGAGTTGGCTGAGGAACAGTACTGTGTGCACAGTGGCCTGAACCACAGCTAAGTGGAACAGCTTTGGCAGCCAGAGTTACCACCAACTGCAGTTACGTGCAAAATCGAAAAGACAAATCAGTTGACTCGTGCTATGCTCAAATGTGGTTTTTTTGTCTCTGTTATGGTGACACCTTTCTTTCTCTGAACTGTCTCAGTAGGATTTTGCATCTGTATGCCAGCAACATCAGCTATAACTGCAGAGAAATGTAGAATAGTTAGGATAGGTCATTCTTTATGTTCATATGTACATGACCCCACACTGGTAATACACAGTCTTCTGATTCACTGAATCTGCGCTTTTCTTTTCACAAACACTAACTGGCAGCCTTCATTTCATTAACTGATCACGTTTCAAGTTAAAACTATTTAATTATTTGTCTCACTACTCCGATTAAGAAGCCGTTCCAGAATTCCATTACTCTGATGGTTAGAAACCATATTTCAACATTCAGCTTCCACATTTTTGTATTCATTTATCCTTGTGCTACCATTACAATTTAGTTTAAATTGCTCTTTACCCTCCCTATTTTCTCCCAATACTGTTTATACACAGTGATTCTATTAACTAAACCTCTCCTCTTCTAGGCTAAACACAAACCTAGGTTTTTAAGTCTGGTGTTACAAGACAGACTTTATTTACCTGATTGCACCAACATTTTTTTAAACCCACTCTAAGCATGGATGGCTAGAATTGCGTACAGTAGTGCAGTACTCCACATAAGGTCTCACCAGCTCCTTTTGAAGCAGTAGTAACAATTTAATTTTTTTACAGAAACTTTGATAGGGAGTAGGGATGAATTTGTCTTTTCATGGCTGTATCTCACTTCTGACAGACATCTACTGATCAACATCGTAAATTATTGTTAGAATAAATATATAACATTTTGATTTTTGTGTCACTATCATTTTAGTCACCAGGCCATCTGATTCTTCCTTTGTGGTATCCCAATCATCTTCTACTTCGATGAACCCTTTCAACACTGTCTTGTTAGTGTATGGTTGAAATACGTTGAAATACGCACAAATTCTGAGACAAAGTTCTTAACTGAAGTATTTAATAAAACTGGTAACAAAACTGGTTTTAAAGAAGTTCATTAGCAGCCTTGCTCTCCAAAACATATTCTAAAATCTTTTATACCACTGTCATATTACTGAACATCTGGTTGCCTTGAATACTTTTAATGCTGTTCACCTAAATAGAGGCACTGTATTTGTCAATAGCTAATTATATAGCATTGCATCTACCTTGGCTGAGTTATTTAAAACCTTGGCCACTAGACCTATGATTTAACGTGCTAGTTCTTTCAGAATTATTGGCCAGGGATTATCGCTTCCTTTAACTGGAGCACATTCACATATGGACTCATGTGCTCTACGGCATCTATTTTACACCATTGTGTGGGTTAGCTCTTCTCCACCTCTTCTGTAAGCATTGCTCTAACATGCTTAAACCCCCAAAATCGTCAGGTTTATATCTTAAGTACCAGCTTATTAAAAATAGTAATTTGAAATTAGAAGATGTTTTTAATGTATTATTTACAATAGCATAGAGTCAATCCTGGACATCTTGGAGATGGCTTTAGGGTTCCTGAACAAAATTCCCAGAATACAACCCTCATGTAATAGAATAATGACTAGATTTTCATCTGCTTTCAACTTTTACAAAGATATTGCATTTTGAAAATTTGGTTAGAGTCATAAAGGAAGACTGTCATTCTGGAAAATTTGATTAGAGCCATAAAGGAAGACTGTCATTCTGGATTTTACTCAGGCATCCTGGTATTACCAGCTCCATTAATAAAATAGTAAGAACACCAGACAAACACCAAAACATCTTCAGCCAATGGCTTTTTGTTCAACTCTTAATCAAACTAACAGCCAAGTGACCTTTCCATTAAATTCCCCAAAATCTGAAGTAAAGAATAGTACTTACTTATAATTATCATCTTCTACAAATTTCTGAAGTTCTTCAATGTAACGGACAGACTTCAAATACTTCTGCACGTGGGGCAGTGTTGTAAGATGATCTGTGGAGTGTTCAAACAAAAAAAAAAAGAACATTCATGTCATCCAAAATTAATTATTCTTTCAGGTTTTTTGTCTCATTCTTATGGTTATCTTAATTGAAACAGATAATTTGAACCTTCCTAAATAAAAAAAAAAAATCAGGCAGAAATATTACTTTGACTCTAAGATGATGTTAAAGATTTGATTGAGCAAAAGTGATGCTCCGCTGTTAAAGAAAACACAGATGCATTTCATCATCATGAAAGCTAGTGGATTTTGTTATATGCTATCTCACAAGTGGAAGAGAGTTATTTGCTGCAAACCCTGCTTGAATTTTGTGCTCGCTGTTCTGGGGGAAATTAAAGCCTGCAGCCATGGCTGTTAGTGATTCTCATATGAACATGAAGTGAAGAGACTTAAAAATTACAATGCTGAATACCAAGACAGACAGACACTGATGCGTGGTGCATGGACAGGAACACACCTTGTAGTATCTAACTTAATGCTCTCGTAAAGACAACTATTTTAAAGGCAGGCATTATTCCAGAATATTGTTTCTTCAAGGCCATATTTTAATTCTCATTCTGATTTTAACAAAAGCACTCAAAATTAATGCATAGCAATGCAGGAAACCACCAAAACTGTAAAAAGGAAAGGGTCACTGAAATAATGAGGTTTCTTTGTCATTCGAAGTATTCAAAGACAAAATGAAACTCACAGTAAGAACACGATAGCTGAATAATCTAGCTATTCAGAATCATACGTTATTATGCCTAGTCCCTACCTTTAAATATTTCATAATACCGAAGCTGACAAAGGACAAGGGCTGGATACTTAAGCATACACAAGTAATTTATCACCTCATTTTCTCACAATCTAACATTTCGTTTCTTTCTATTCAACACTCTCCAAAACTGTAGCACTTAAACGTTCTGAATTAATTTAATTGTACAGCTGCTCTCAAGGTTTTCCAGCTTGTTTCATGTTTAAGCAATGAAAAGTCATGCTAAGTCACCAACAGTGCGCTGAGTATTTGTGAAGACTCCAAACCCAGCAATTTCTTGACATAAGGCTTCACTAACAGGCTAGAACTGCAGGAATGAATTTTAGAGTAAAATCTTGTTAACAAAAAGCAGCAGCCCCCTCATGTTCCTCACTTCATCAACAAGTGACGTATGTGGAAAAGCTTAACACGCAATTTAACAACTGTTAAGTTGTATAGATTGTTGTATAGATTGAAATATTTGTATTTCGTTTTGTAAATGTATCATCAGGATACTAGCAATAAAATGACAATGAAATGAACACATTCTACGCTCCAAAACATCATATCTACTGCAAAGGAAAGGAAAGGTATTAAGATAAGTTATAGTTATTACAATTTATAACAAATGCTTGTTTGCCTAATTGACCAGTAAGATTGAAACTGCACAGAAGTGGAAGCTACATCACTTACTAGTGTTCAACTCTACCAATGTCAGCCTCTTGCGTTGCCTTTACACAGCGCCGAAACCCGCTTTCACAATGTTGTACTAAAGAAATCTTAGTTAAGGCTTAATAGGTATAACAAAATTTACCAACCATAGTTACAGGAGACTTGCAAATCAGCTATTATTCGGAGAATATTGTTCATTTGATTGGATCTTTGTTCGTTCTCCATAATGCTGCCTGAAGCGGGATATGCAGAATCAATGTAGATTAAATCCAAGAGATAAATTCCTGAAACAAACAAATCAATCAACCAATTGATCTAGTGTTTCAAACAGAAATAGTTGCATTATTTTTAGTGCATGTAACAGCCAGCAACTATTTACCCCCACTGTGGTCTGGGCCCATTAAACAAAGGAGAGCTTACAATTTGCATGTTGAAAAAATTCATAATTAGCACTGGAGTTCTATGACACCTCTTAAAAAAGGACAGAAAAGATTTTCCTCATGTGCACTTATATGGGCTAATGTCTACTATGAGCAACTTGCAGGATGGTAACAAGGACGCTGAAAAAAGAAAGAGTGACAGCTGCCCCGAGCTGCTGGTGACAGCAGAGGCAGTCTGCGTGGAGCTGACAGCAAGCACAACAGCCTCTGGCCCACAATGAAGAGTTCAGCGCTGCACTGCAGTGCCTTCTAGGTCTGCCACTATTTACTACGTTAAGACATTACTGCATGTTTTGGCTGAGGCTCCAGGCTGCATCTGCTAGAAGACAACAGGAGATGATACTTAGTTTTTGATTATGTGATGATTTAAAAAAGCATAAAGAAAAGGTTTTTGTTTATTAATTTCTTAATTGAAAAAATGGCATAGTTGTTTGCCTAGGCCCAGATTTCTCAGTAAATATGGAAAGACAGTGATTATTGTAGTTGCCAAAAACGTTGACTGTTCTTATTTGTATTGCAACTGCTTTTTATCAACACATGCCATTCAGTTTCACACATACCGTTACGATTTGTAGCGGGCTTCTTTTACAGCCCTAGAACAGTTAGAAAGCAATCACAAATGAAGGGAAAAATACTGACTGGGAAGTACATACAATATACTATTATCAAGTTTGAGAAAACTGAATCATCACTGACATTGCCTAGAAAGTTTTAGTTTTTAACTCTGGGAAACTGAAAGATAGTTCTGCAACACAGTCTTGCAAAACTCATGAACGCTACTATGAAAGCATACAGCAAGGCTCATGCTCGTCTGTTTACTTCAGCAACTAACTGAATGCATTGAAGATGAGGAAGAGTAGCACTCTTGCCTTTTGTGAGGATACTTTGATCAGTTTTACTATTTCAATGGTATGAATGCAGAGAAAGAGTACGGAGGCTCTGACTGTGTGTGTAAAATTAATTTATTTTAGGACTTCTAACTATGCTCTCTATTGATCAGGCCTTGGGCGCAGATCCTAGGAAGGAACAAAGTGGTAACGCACAGCACTTCATCTCGTAGGGAAGTGAAGAGTTGGTCTGCGGAGGCAGAGTTATACCAATACACTCTGTCATCTCCAGCGTGTCCTTGGCCACACGGGCACTCTGTGACTTAGACCTTCTGAAATAATGAGGACTGAGCTTGGTGTGAATGCTGCATCCAAACAGACTGACTAGAAATCACTGTATGTGCTCCATTCAGAGATCACTGCAGCTGTTGCTACAGTGTCTCAAAAACATTATCTCAGTCTGACTTTTCTTTAAAGGACTACTCAAACATTTAGGGTTAGCTAAAAGGCACACTTTAATATATTCCTAAACTATTCTATGAGCTGTGCAGGGAAGTTAGTGCTTCCTTCTTGCATAACAAAGAAAGGAACATTCTTTTGAGCAGGAAAATAACTTGTGCAGCATAAAAATCTACCAGATTTCCACATTAGATTTTCCATACTGGTTTTTGAGCATGTTTGTAATTAATGACTCCCCCTCTACCCCATGTTTTTTTGCCCTGCCTTGAAAAGAGCACTCTTAGTTTCAGGAAAAGAGCTAGCTGGTACACTTTCACTCTTCCAGCTTTAGAACACTCAATTTTCTCAATAAATTCCAGCTATTAAAACAACAGGAAATGCAACTATGTTAGTCAAGAACAATTTTTTAAAAGGTAAGGAAAGCCACTAAAATGAAATGCATGGAGCACACCTAAGCAACACACTCCTGATAGAATTTCAGTATGCTTGCATTAATTACTGATAATAATCAGATCTTTGGAAGTGTATTAAGTTTGTGCAGTGAAAATGAATTATTTTTATGTAATCTCCTGGTAGTAAGTATGCCTTAAACTTACCTGGATTAAAAAAAAAAAAAAAAAACACTGGAAATAAGATTTCCACCTGGGAAAATACAAATTCTTTCCTGAAATTAAAATGTTCTTATGCGTTCTCTAGTAATGTCTCATTACTATCATGTAGAGCTGTAAGTTACAGACCACCAGCAATAGTCTAGCAAATTAAAGAAAAGCCATGTGGCTTACTAAGGTTCTTCTTTACAGCTTATGAAAAAAAAGAAAAAAACCCAGACATGGCAATTTTGTTAGATTTTACTAAGTACTGAGTATCTGCATGAGCAAAATCTTATTCACATGTTGAGTACACCCCACAATTCACTATTACATAATTTTATAGCTCAGATTCAGTCTTGCTGTGGAATTTTGCATCTCTCAAGTACTGTCTCGAAGATCTCCATTAACGTTTCTGCTCTGAGACTTAGGAATACATTATGGAAATCCCTTGCAAGAGTTTTTCTCGCTACTGCTGTGCTTGCTACATATCTGTTTCTTCAGATCTCTGCCACCTTAACAAGTAAGTGGCTCATTGCGTCACACTGGATTATGTCCAGCATTAGCCAGGCTGCAAGCGCCTACCTAATTTCTTTAGTTTTTAGCCTATTCATTCATGCATTCTGGAAAAGCCTTCCACTGCTTAGGGAGGAATGGGTGAAGAAATTATATGAACTGTCATTGAAAAATGAAGAAACAGACACAGATGCAGTGGTAAGCAAGAACAAACTTGGCTCGTTATGAACTGTTAATGCTTTGCTAGGAAACCATAAGGCTGTGACTAACCTGTCTCTCAAGCCCCCACCAATCTGTGAATTTGGACTAAGAACGAACCACATCCCTGTCAGACCCACTGATATGACAGATAAGAGAGTGCTCCAGTGGCCAAAGGTAACTTGATAACCCCAACAAAACCAAAAAGGATGTTTAGTCCTTATAAATGAGTGGAACAGAGTTGGATTAACAACAGAACAACATACAAGCTGACTGGAAATTCCAGTCACACTGGAGGGAAAACAAAGAAAAAAGATGCTTCAAAATCAGGTCAAGTTTTACAGTCTAGTTTAACTTCCTTCACTGGTCCAGACCATTCCTTTAAAAATTTTCTTCCCATATTAAAAATGCTCTCTCTTGAAGAAGTAACATATCTCATAGATATGTCTATAGCTCATAAAGGAGAGGTTCATCTGACTTAGACTACCTCAACGCTTTTAGCTTAAGAGCAACCTGGGGTTTAGTACCTTCTAAAAACCATTCTGAACTTGTCTTCATTTCCATCTCTAAACATTTCTAGCTCTAGAAAGACAGAACTGTGTATCATTAAAAAAGTTATGTATATTTTCAATAACTGTTTTATTTGTTTTATTTTCTAACAAAAAGAGCCTCCATTTTTGTAACCTGTATTAGTAGTTCAGGGTTCTGGACCTATGGATTAAGTATGCTGATATGCTTCTATTGCTCTCGACTACAATAATATCCCAAGCCAAAAGATGAGTGACATTTAAAGGAAGAGGGAGTCATTGAGTTTGCTTTCTCTGTGTACTTTGAGTACAGCTCTGTTAACTATAGCAGTATATTTTTGTCTCTGTGTCCACGTGCTTGGAAACTGTGGAAAATCAGATCTTCACTTAAGAGTATTAGCTGAAAAGGCCAGCATGGTTACTTTTGTACATTTATACGTTATCGTGCACAGCATTTTAAGTCTAAGAGATCACAGTTAATTCCCCAATAGATTGCCTACTGATAACTGTAACAAAAGTTATTTTTGATGGCTGCTGGTGCTTGCTGCCACCTTTATGTTAAAAATCCTACAGCATTATTCTTTACATTTATCACTCCTTACATGTTGCCTAGCTTCCACATCCCCGTATTTCCTCAGCTTTGCAGGAAGACTAGCAGTCTCTGCCAAGTATGTCAGTGAACTGCATGTGCATATACTCTGTAAGTAACCTATCGAATGACCTGAGCTTGACTGTTAAAGAAATAACCTAGAAGAAATCAGCTCTCCTTTGGGCACAAGGTTTTTCCCAGTGTGGCCTGAACACAGCTTGTCCCTCTTCTGCATGCTCATTCCATTCTCCCACTCTCCTTTCTGGTTTCTTGGTTCAGATTTGACTGGTCTTTGCTGTTTATAAGAATGCCTGTATTAACAAAGTATATAAAAAAGCAGGGGGTGGAGGGGGTGGGAAGACAAAAAAAGACTTCATCTGTTTAGAAGACAATTTCCTACAGGTTTGTCAAGATCACCAACACCTGCTCTTCCTTTGTGCTTTCTCACTCTTGTGAAAGTTATGGGCACACGTACTAGTTTATTACATCTCACAGAAGATTTCCCAGCTCTCAGATTTCACAGCTCATATTAGATTTCACATGTCATACTAGAGAAACAAACTACAGAAACATCAGTAGCACCTTGGTCCTGCTTATATCTGCTTTGTTTCCACATCCCAGTCTTACTTACATTTTTGCGGGGGGGTGGGGGGAAACAACAATCCAAACGCCAATTCCTACTTTCAGCTCTTCTGAACTTACCTATTACAAGGGGTCCAACCACACTGGGAGCTGCTTCAGCCATCATCCACCACACAAGAGTTACTAACATTTACACACTGCCAACATGGAGCAGGCACCTTGCACATCAGAATGAAGGAAAGAACCCCGATTTCCCCAGTACTGGAACGGCTCTGCCCGACGCAGAGTAAAAGCAGACTGAGTCACCAAGAGTTCTCCATGACCTGGAGATCCTAACTAGATTTAGATTCCATATAGCAGCTCTTCACTGTCCTCTCCTGTCAAGCAGCACATCAAAATGTTGTCAGAGTAAAGGCTATAAAAATTCTATTTGCTCAGACCCTCTACGCTGCCACATGCCTCATGGCAGCCTGGTTCAAGGCTGCTTTCTATTTTGAGCAAGTTTGCAGCCATTCTCATTGGTATCAAGGGTACAAGCACCCTCTCAATCTGTATCAGTACTCATAAGCACTTCTTCAGGACAAACAGTAAATTTTCCAGGACAATATACAGATGAGGACCAATGAGACACACGAGCAACTAAAAGGATGGGGGGCGGGTTATCACAGGTCCTGTAAATTCCAAATAAAAGTGTAAGGAAATGGGCTGTTTGTGGGTAGTGGGGTGCAGGAAGAAAGAAAGCAAACTGATAGATGCCAACAAAAAATTAAACTGAATGTAACATGCTGGAATGTAACAGGACATATTCTTTGTAAATACACATCAAGCTACCCCTTTTCAATGGTGTTCCTCTCCCTCCCTCCTTTTAAAGCAAGAAGGACAATTAGTTTTTTATGGTCTTTTTTTAGTGTTACCAGCCTTCATCTGGGCAGTGGCATTTTGAACTCTTCTATATATATGATGTGATAATAGGGATAGATGAGAATCAGTTTATTTTGCTCAGAGGAATCACAAAATTATTCCCTTCAGCAAAAGACTTTATGACCTGCTTCTCAAAGGAAAGGCTCAGGGTTGCCATATGCCAAAGAAAACACACAGCGCTAGCTTTTCAAACCTTGGCTTACATTTGTGCTACTGTGCACTGAAAAAAGCTCTCTAAGATGTGAAGCCACCAGGATATTTTCCAGAGGGTGAGCTCATGGGCAGCTGCTTCCACAGGCTAAACATTTTCCAGTGATACTGACTTTTCTCCATTGTTACTAGAACTAATTTTGCAGCTGGATATTGAATGTGGACAACACAGTATTCATTAGTTTATGGTATCATGGAAATAATAACACAGACTAAGGAAAAGCATAGCCAAATAATCCAGGACTAAATTTATCAATGGAAATCACACTGTGTAAAGGGGACTGATTATTTTTAAATTGGCAAAAAGAACTATAATACCTAGCTCTTAAATTTTTATTGCAGAGCTCAAACAAAGCAGTAATATTACTGACAGTTTAAAGACCGGGAAACTGAATTACAAGAAAAAAGTGACCTTGAAATGTAGTAGTCAATGCCACCCAGATCATGCATTTTGAGTGCTCCATCCACCAGAGAATAACTTCCAAGGCTAAATTTTATTGAAAAGGTATTTATGGAGAACTGCAGTGTTCAGCATAAGTCTGTATATTTGTGTCTTGATTCACAGTTAAGCTTCTCCTATTATTTCTTTATTCAGTACCCAAGGCTTCTGAGAAAGAGAAAATAGCACTGAGGCAGATAATAAATAAGCATACTTTGGAGTTGATGGGTACTAATAACATGCTCTTAAGAAAAATAATCCCAAGGCTTCTGAAATCAGTGGTTATTCAGCTTCACCCAATTCTGATGAACCTCAGCTCAAGCATTTAAGTTTTAAAATTTTCATGAGGTATGGTGTACGATTTGTTCCTCATTAAGAAAGACTGACATAACATGCTATGAAAGGCAAAATACTTTCAGTCCAGTAAATCACATGTACGAAGTTATACCAATGAGAAAAGCTGAGATGGTATTACTTTAAACCGCAGTAGCAGAAACAAGTGGAAATCTGTTCTTTTAAGGCATTTGCCTGGAAGTCAGAAAATCTGGGTTCAAATTTTCTGTTCTGTCACAGATTTCTTTGACCTGGGCAAGTTATTGTTATCCTCTATTTTCCACGAGTTCAGTGAGATGAGATAGCATTTCCTTGTCAGAAAGACTTCATGAAAATAAATATTATGACTGGGAAGACTTAACAAAAGTGGGGCTTAAATTCCTTACAGAAAAAGATCTAATGATGTGCAGCCTGTAGAAGTAGCAGCACCATTTATTCTTAATCAAATCTCTTTTGGGGGTTTACGACAATTTGCAGGCACAAGGTGTAAGCCAAAGCTTACAGCACCTAAAATTGTCTCACAAATACACACTGTTGCAAAACTGACCATAAAAAAAACCAGTGCAGTTAAAGATTGAAAACTTGCATCATTCTCAGTTGTGTCTTTTTTTTTTTTTATAATGGTTATGAAACTATAAAATAGTAGGGCTAAAAACCCCAAAATTAAGTGGTTAAAGCACACCACTACTGCATACTTGACATATACTTTAGTGCATAGTGCTCTGCTAAGCGTCTGTGCAATTCTGCAAATGTAAATAAGTTAGGAAACAGCTAGTGTATGGTATTTTTGTTAGTCAGACATTCACTACTTTGCAACAAAGAAAATTAGCTGATGGGGAACTATTTCAGATTAGCCTGGGGACTTCAATTTGTTATTCTTACTTAACACTTTAATCAAGTACTGTAATAACCTTCCACATTTGTTTGGTAAATGGTACTGTTACTGTGACAACCATAAACATGCTATAAGAGGAGGAAAAAAAAAAAGTTAAATGTTTTAATGAACAAATTTAGTTCCCTACTTATCATCACGTACACTTTCTAAAGATATTCACAAACCAGAAACCCCTGAATGCACATATACTGCAGTGTAACATGGATGTCTGGGTATACAGCATTCTTTTAGTACAGGAAAGCAGTGTCTACAAGACACGCAGTAGCTGGCACGCATAACAGAAGGGAACCTATGGAAAGTAATTATTTTTCCTTTTTTCTCCCCAAAAGTTGAATAATGACACTGGTTTGATAGGAAAACCAGAAGAGACAAAAATGTTTCCAATTTGTAGTCAGCTATATTTATGAAAGCCTTTTCCCACATACAGTAGTGTGGTTGTATCATACTAAATAAATCAGAGGACACAGAGAAAGCAACTTATCAATTAACTAAGTGGTAGAAAGTCCAAATCACTACAGTCAGCAGTCTGTAAAACCAAAGACACCATTCTTAGGAGATTAGCTCATAGTCAGAAAAGCCAACAGTTTTGTGGTATCATTGGTTTCAAGCAGACTGGATATTTTCCATGGACTAAGGGCTGGAAAATTTTTCTACAAAACCAAATATATATACTGGTTAACCTTGGTAGGACTTAGAGTACTCTAAAAACAACTGAAGACAAATCTTTGCCAAGGCAACAACGTGTGATTTGTAATACATATTGCCGGCACAGTGGCCAAGTGAATGGGATCACTCACAGGAAAGCAAAGCTGGGATTATGACCAGGTTTATCACTTCTGGCTGATGCCAGCTACCCAGAACATAGCATCAGTATCACACACATGCACAAACGCAGAACTATAATGAGGCTGAGTCAAAAAGACAAAAAACTTTCTCAATTAAAAAGGTTTGTGTAATTTTTACTTACACAGTTCCAAATTCCAAAACAGCCATTCTTGCCATTCTCTGGCATCTTCCCTTGCGTATCATCAGTCTAATGAGAGTGTGAATACTCACAATGCCACAAAAACTTTTTTCCAAAAACGCAGGTAAAAGCAATGCCTGTCATGATGTTGCTAGTAAGTTACCAAGAGGGGAAGTAGCTAATATAATTGCTTTCTGGAACATTATTTCTTCAACACAAGGATGAATTGAAAGATACATTTTCTGTATTTGCCAGTCTTTTTTTTTTGCCAGTCAGTTTTGTGAACATTCATCTACATGAAAGGGAAAACAATTATAGCTTCAAACCACATGACTTCTGTCCTTCCGAGAGAGTAATGAGAAGCATCTTAAAAACATTATCAAGAAGACAATTTCCCTTATACAAATCCTCATATAAGTAAAGGAAAAAGGGAAACTTTAAAAACAAATTCCTTTCTTAAATAAGTCATAAACATATTAATTAGAGCTTTAAATAATGATTTAAATTGCCTTAAAGCATTTTAATGATGTTGGTAGAATACATTTAAATATCTTATAAAGCTGTGTGGTGAATAAGCCAGAATGCGTTAATAACTATTTTAATTAGAGATAATCAACACCAACATTGTACCTGAAACAGTGTAGTATTCATACCATGCAAGTCTGCAGTATTTTTTGACTTGAAATAGGAATATATCAACCAAAACTCCAAAGATGTTCTGTACCGGGCTGTTTTCTAGATTACATGTAACTTCTTAATTGAATCAAACTAACTTCTCATACCAATATCATGCATCTGCTTACTACACAAACATCAATTTCTCTCTTTTCTCATTTCAGAACCAGAAAACAGTACTGGAGGGCCACATTACCACTCTGGGCTTGTCTACACCTGGAAAGCATAGACAAACTGTTTTGAAATATTTAGTCTGGAATAGATAGTCTATTACAGGCCCAGCATTCCTCAAGGATGATCACATCCAAATTGAGACGTTCACTGGAATAACCACTTCAGTAAGTTTTCAGGGTAGACAGCATTCATCTGAGTAACACTTGGGGATCAGTCAGGCAAATGTACCTCATGGGTTCAAAAACTATCAATATAACACCTATGCACAGCATAACCCTAATATACAACTCCACCTCCATTAATCAAACACAAAACCCCAAATAATTCAGTAATCGGAGTAAAAGTTCTGAAAATTATTTTACTTCATGGCAAACAAGATGTAATTGCAAACAACAAATGGTATTACGTACAATTAGTTTAAAAAAAAAAAAAAAAAGGTAAAAATAGCTGTAGTCTGTTGCCCCTGTCAGAACAAAATCTAAAATCAGTTTATATTTTAGAAAAGAAAATACTTCCATAAAGTATTAAAACATTTGTTCCAACCGACACTTA